TCATTCTAGAATGAAAGAGGTATAATTTATATTTATTTCCAAATTTTTTATGGTTATTATGAGATCTGTCAAATCTATCAAACCTGTACAGAGATTTTTTACTGAAAATAACAGAAAATATAGTTTTTTATTAAGAAACATTTAATAACTATCTGGACATTATAATGATTTCACATTTGAAATTTGAAACTTTTCTGAATCATAAAAGTATTTTTAATCCTAAAATGAAAATTACTTTGCATGATTCATAGGCAACATATAAAAAAGAAAAAAAAGGCATGAGACAAACTTTGCTTCACAAACCTTAAGACTTAATGAAAAAATTTGATATTTTGCATATGAGAGCATTGTAATGTTTACTGAAAATCTTCCAAATTTTGTTAACATACACTTACTAATTTAAAAGTTATAGCATGAAAACTATAATAAGCACAAAATGGTAACGAGGTCGGTCCCAAGGACTGACTCCATGCTGAAAGAGTTAAATTATAATAGTTTCAGAACATTTTATTCTAACCTGATATATTTTCTTGTGTTTTAAAATACACATTTGAAAAATACATGAATCTTTATTTGAAGATGTAATATAGTGAAAAAAATAATGTCTAGCAAAGCTATAGTTTGGAACTGCAAAAATAATTTTGATTGTTTATGATACATTTTCAAGTTCTATTGCTGTGTACTTATGGTTGGAGATGGCTTGAATGAGTATTGAAGAAAAACTTTAATATAAGTTTAACATAACAGCAAATGTACAACGTTTCGACAAGGTTTTGTCATCATGGAGTATAGTGTTATAAAGATGAGCCTTTTATATAGATGAGAGTGGAGATGCTGTAGAATTAGAATAATAAACATCCACTTAATGGTTGTGACACAGAATAAAAATTTGTTAAATTTAATTCTAACATTTGATTTCTCAAAATTTCATTTTCAAAGACAAAAATATATTGTTCCACATCAGTTTAAGCCTGCTAAAAAGATCTTCCTCTTAATATTTTTAGCAGTTGTGTTAGTAGGCTTTAATTCAGTTTTAGCAAAAAAATATTAAAGAATAGGTTTTATGCTTTAAAGATTGAAGGTTGCACATTATTCTCTATGGTAGAATTGCAGTTTTAGACTAACTTTTTATTTGTGTTGAAATTAGTTTGGTAATTAAAATGATTATTCTTGTAATATGCTTTTTTTTTCAAGCATATAAATATTAATTTATACTAATGGATGTATACTGAATATACCAAATGTATAGTTTGGAGTAAAATAGGATGGAATATACATTTTAATAGTATGTAATTTTCCAATTGTTGAATTAGTAATGTGAAGTATTATAATTTTTTGAATGTTCTCAGTGTATTAATTTTCTTTTCCAGAAAAACACATTCAGAAAGCAAGAAAAATACGACAACAAGAACGTGAAAATACAGTGGATTCTCAACCTAAAAAATTGTTGATTTCCCGTAATAGGTGAGATTCATATATAATGTCTAGTATTTATATCTTTCTTTTGTTAAATATGTTGTGATGAGGTATACTTCTAACAATTAAATGAACTACTCTTATAATTCCTGTATATCTAACCATTCATCATTCAGCTTATATATCAATTGTATGTTATGTATAGATATGGTGTTTGGACATGACTACATCTTCAGTAGTTTTTGTGTGTAGTAGCATTTTAAGAAATTAATAAAAAGTTGATCAAGGTTATTTGATGAACTTTTAACCTTGATTCATGAAGAGAATGCTTGTTGGAAAGAAAATGTATTTTGTAATATATTTTCATATCAAGATAGTTGTGTAAAGGTGTATTACTGAGAATAATGTTGGCAAATTAATTTGTTACTAATAATTCATGGTTTCTTATCAGATGAAGTGCAATTGAATTCTGTTTTATGTTTGTTACAGAAAGGCAAACCTTTTTTTTTTCTATTTTGACAAGCCATAAAACAGAATTCAATTGCTTTTTCTTGGAGATGTTTCATAATGTTGAAGCAGCACTGAATACTACATTATGTAGCCTCAATAACAAATTGTTTATTTATTTAGTTATTAAGCTCAACATTGTGTCTGACATCCAAGTTTGTTTCACAGAAAATTACTTGTCTTAACAAGTCTTTAGATCTTGCTTATGCTAGCCTAAAGTACTTTGTTCAAAGACATAAAACATTTTGGGCATACTGTATGCTTACAATAATTTGCAGTCTTTTACCTGTAGTTAGATGTGCAGAAAAAATATAATTGGCAATTGTGTAATAATATCTACCAGAAGAACTGTTTGAATTCTCCAATAGTAGTTACAGTTAATAAAAAATAATTAAGAGTAACAGACACACTATAAACTTTATATGAACACTGCCCAAGGTCATCAATTTGTTACCCTCACTGCTAGTGGTGTTTCAGGTCTTTTACCCAAGAACACCTGATTAAATTGGGCCTGCTTGGCGATATTATCAAGCACTGAGACAGAATTGTCAAGTTAAGCTTTAGATAACTAAAACACTTGTTAAACTATTTAAATTTAAAACTGTAAATAATCATAAGTTACAGAAACACATCTAAACATAATAAGTCTTATTTAAGATGAAGGTAGATGTCCATAAAATAATAGCATAACCTGTGTGAATATATGATTGTTAGAGTGTAGCCATTCTATTTCTAAGTGTCCCAATCCATCGTAGCATTTGAGTGTGACCTTACTAAAGAGGGGGGGAGGGTTAAAGAGAACAAACCAAAGATGACCAGTTTTTAAAAGTGGAAAGATAATTAAGATAATTTTGCAATGAACTAGAGGAAAGTTAGAGGTAGGTATAGTTTTAAATTGTGAGAAATGCTTGGACTTTTGTTGAAGTATGTAAAGTTAGGATGAAGTTATTGATATCTTATAGTGACTATGTTAATTATGTCATCTATATAAGAGTCAGTGATCACACTGTGGTAAAAGATTGACACAGGATAATGTATGTTAAGAGTTAAATAAAATGATAACTTTGAAAGGTGGAATAGTTCAGTTTGTGTTACACTATGTAAGACAAAGATAAATAAAGTTTTGCATAAGTCCTAGCTATTAGGTTAATTCATAAAATTAGTTTTTATAATATTCTTATTGAGGATTGTATGAAAAGTGCTAAAATTGTAAATGTAAAAATGCTGTGTGTGTAATTTGATGAATGAAAAATCTCTACACAAATGTTTGTATTATTAGCATTTGAGCTTCCTATAAAATCTTCCAAATTACAAAAGAATTCTAGCAAATCTAATGAGTTGTGATAGGTAAACATTATAGCATATCTTTTTAAGTGTTTTTATCTGCAAATAGGAAATTTATAACTTTAAAATTAAAACCCTTTGTAGTGTGTTTCATTTATATTTGTTGAATATTTTTCTACTAGATATGTTGAGTAGATATGCTTAGCTGTGCTATGGTTTATAGGAATTAATTCAATGTAAGACAGTGGTTGTGATGAAGTAATTAGTATAATCTATGCAAATTGTTAATTTACCTGCATTTGTTAAAAGATCTAATAATTGCATTCTTAAGTTTTTTTCACTGATTTTTGTAAGGGTTGGCTGGTATAAAGGTTGTTGAAATCAAATGTTTTGATAGATTTTGCTGTGAAAAGATTTTCACATTTATTTATGTTCTGTGGAATATTCAATAATTATGTATGAAGTAATACTTGTCCTTTCATTTGTAATGCTACAATGTTTCTTCAAATGTTCTTTGAGGTACTTAAGACCTTTACCTATTAAAATGGATAAATATTTTGTTGTGGCTTTTTTGGTTTCAGCAATGAACCTATATTTTTAATGTGAGCTGTGGAGCTTAGGAATCCAGAATAACTTGGGAATCACATTGTTGTTAACATTTGTATCAATTGGAAATTCTGTTAAATTTTGTTGTTGTTTGATAACATAGTTTAGATTGATTTTAACATAAATTAAACAGAATTACCTGAAGGTTGCAATGTTTGAAGATTGTAATCGAGTTCCTTACAAAGTGTAATAACTTAAAATTTTTTAAGAATATAAACAAATATTTTGGCTGCTTTATCTGCTGGTGTTATGACATATTTTTTGTGTAAATATTTTATAAATTCTCTAGTATTTGTGGGAAGGTATTAGGTGTAACTTTTTCTAAAAACTGATTCTGTAGTTGATTACTTTTACCAGTTTATTCTATTGTAAAAACTGATTAGGATTTATTTTTTATTCCAATTTTAAATTATAAATTTAAGTGACTGCATGAAAACATTTTTAGTACATATGTAGTTAATTTTTGAATACTTGCAAAATTTAGGTCTCTTATTCACCAAATGTTTGGAATATTCATTTGTAAAGTGTTAGGGTTTCTAGTAATGAAATGCTAAGTGGGTGTGCAAATATAAGGGAAATTAAGATAATCACAATCTGAGGAATGTTGTTCAATTGCTAATTACTGATGCTATCTTAAACCCTGCTATAATTAAAATTTAGTTTTCTGGCAGGATCTTGTAAGATGCAAGTTAATGTTACAGGTTGCAGGTAGTAATTGTTGTAGGGTCTTGTCCCAAATAATAATTCTAGATTGTAAGTTCTATGCTTTGTCAGTAAATGAAACGACAAAAAATGCAATATCTTTACTTTTTTTTAGATGTTTCAGGTTAACTTGGAAAGACTGCTGACATATAACACATTATAACTAATTTAAGTAGATTATCAAAACTTGTAGAATTTAAATTCTTTTGATTAAACTTCATGCAATGTAAAGTGAATGGAGACCTTTTGTTTTATATATTAGAAGTAATTCCTCTATTAAGCTTAATGGTATCTTATTCCTATTAGTTCTATGTTGTTTTTTTTACCACTACTATGGAGAATAGGTATTAACCCTTTAGAGACGAGTCACGGGTGAAAGGCCAAGTCATCTTGTTTGTTGACTCGCATTCAAACTTTTATTGAACTACTATTTCATGAATTTATGTCAGTAAGTTTGGTATCAAACTGTAGATTATAATTCAAATGTTAGTACTATACATTACTCAATTGCTTAGTTTAAAAGCAAATATTAAGAAAACACAGATGAACATCACTTTTTGTGTGTGTCACATGGTATGTTAAATGCAGCACTGGTTCATATTAGATGTTTGTGAAGTCAAAATACAAAGTCTGTAGTTTTATACAAATTAGAAACTCAAATTACTGGTATTGACAATCTAGAATATAAAATAAGAGCCTCTTATCTTTTCAGTTTACTAAAATATTGCTCATGTAATAAATCAAACACAGTGGCACCCCACCCACCTCTTTCCATTTTTGGAAATGCTCCCTTATATACACTTACTTCTATATATGACATGAATAACCAATCCGAAGCTCAGAATGTCTCCCTAGTGGATTTCTCAGCCATTTTAACAGGCTAGGTGCCATTTCTTTCTTTTAAACTAATATTTCGATGAGGTAGGCTGTGTCTTTATTCTGCTCAAAATTTCATATTTTTTAGACTAAAATACATCTTAGTTACTAAGCTCGATAAATTATAGTGGAATTCTATGGTATTAATATAGAAATTTATGATTTTTAAGTTATTCAAATGTATTTATAAAATCTAAAAAAAAATATTTTGTTTCATATCCTCCACGTGCATATTTTTTAAAGGATTAGCAACCGAGTACAAATGTTCGTAACTAGAAGAGATAATTGTTTGCTTTACTTTAGTTACTATTCTGTGTTTAAAGAAAAATAAGTTTAAGAACTTATTTCAAAATAGCAATAATCTTTATACATATGTATAATGTATAATAATTGAAATGTGACTGTATTTTACAAAATTTTAGTCTACCAAAACAAAGCTAAGACAAGGTATTTTGTACAGATCAAAGGTCAGTTTTATATTAATGGATATGGTAACATGAGAGCACATGTGCTGCATCATTGTGACTTCTGTATTGTTAGCCAGGCATGGCTGATAGGTCAATATAATAAAAATAATAAATATATATAAATGTATAATGTTATGAGATTTAAGCTATTTAGTCTAAACATTTATGTTTTCATGTTATAATTTGTGTTCATTCTAGAATGAAAGAGGCATAATTTATATTTATTTCCTAATTTTTTATGGTGGTTGCGAGATTGGTCAAATCTACCGAACCCATACAGAGATTCTTTACTGAAAATAATATAAAATATAAAGTGTTTTTCTTAAGAAATGTTTGATAACTATCCGGACATTATAAAGATTTCACATGCGAAATTTCAAAATTTTCTGATGCATAAAAGTATTTTTAATCTGAAAATGAATATTACTTTCCATGAGAGACAGGCAACATGCAAAAAGAAAAAACAGACACGAGAAAAACATTGCTTTACAAACCTTAAGATGTAACAAAAAAAATTAGATATCTTGCATATGAAAGCATTGTAATGTTTACTGATAATCTGCCAAATTTTATAAACATACGCTTACTAATTTAAAAGTTATAGCA